CGCACACACACCCGTGGCGCGCTGACGACGGCGCATCGTCCGCGCCCCGGCGTCGTCCGCGTCGTCGCGTCGCGCCCGCGACCGCGGCGCGCGATGGGATCGGCGTGCGCGAAACCGTCGTCGACGACGCCGGGCGCGCGCGCGCCCCCGGGACCGGCGGCGACGCCGGTGAAGTCGATTTTAAAGCCCACGACGGGGCGGGAGAATGACATCGCGCGCGCGACGGCGACGCCGAACGCGGCGACGACGACGACGACGACGGCGACGAAGAAGGGGGCGAACGTCACGTTCGCGGGCGTGGACGCGGATGAGGGGATGGAGAGCGAGGACGATGAGACGGGTGGATGGGGATTCAGAGGGCGATCGTTCGGCGGGCGGGCGGGCGGGTCGGGGGACGACGGAGGCGGAGACGAACGGCGAGGGAGTTTCACGGCGTCGGTGCCGGTGGTGGTGAAGGAAGAGGAGGCGCATTGGTTCTTGTCGATCGGTGTGGATACGAGAAAGGCGGCGGCGACGGTGATGAAGAGTCGTCTCGTCGCGGCGCGGGTGGAGGAGGAACGCTTGCGAGAACTCGTGCTCGAGGCGGAGCGCGCGAGGAGCGAAGCGGAGGGCGAGGCGAGACGGCGGACGAGTCAAGATGATATCGCGAACGATGGGAGTCGGAGTGGGACGAGCGATTCGGGGACGCCGACGACGCCTTTAGGGCAGAGCGCGCTGATGCCTTGGGACGTCATGGTGACGGTTGCTCGGGCGAGAGAGGGAGACGCCCGCGCGGCTTTGCAAAAGGCCACGCTCGTGGTGAAGAAGCTCGCGCACGCGGCGGCGATGTGGGAGCTGAAATCGGCGAAAAGGGCTCGACAGGACATCGCGGAACACCTGCAGAAGATTGAGGAAAAGAAGGGCAGGCGCCTGGTGTCGGCGGCGCAAACCAGGACGACATTTGAGACGGCGACGGAGGAACGCGAGCGTGAGCTCGCGAAGACGCCACAGCTCGAAGACGCACGTTTAACCGCCGATGGCAACCTAGCAGAGGCGACGGCGCGCGTGCATGCCGCGAGAACGGCGCTTCAGAATGCTCGCGATAGGAAGAAGGGCATCCTGTCGACGTTCCGGAACGCCGTGCACACGTCGATGGAATCGAGCGTTGACCTGTTGGAGTTCAGGCAGAAAGAGTTCTCTCTTCGAGCGTCGAATGTCACCAAGACGATGTTTGTCGCTTACGACGAGATGACGCACCGCCTCGAGGAGGCGTTGATCAACGCTATGGATGCTGTCGCGAAGAAATCACCGGCAAAGTACAACAAGAGCATTGACATTGAATCCGCCGCCGCGCTCACCGCACGTGATCGAGCCGAGGCGTCTCTGAACGACGCGACGAGTCAGTGCATGGCGGAGATGCGTGCCTTGGAGGCGTCCACGAGAAGTTTACTCGCTGACGTCGACGAAGAGATCAAACTCGGGATTGACGAGTACTACGCCGCCGCAGAGGACGAGCGCGTGTGCTACCTCGAGGCGCAGCGTTGCACCATTGCGTGCAAAATGTCGCACGCCGCCGTGCAGGTGTACGAAGATCAATACCACGCGACGAAAAGTATGTCAGAGGAGGCACGGATGTGGGCGTCCGCGCTCGATGAAGAGATCGACGTTCTGAATAAAGACTTACAAATCGCCGAAGGGCAACAGAAACAAGCGGAGGAGGCCGCGGAGGCAGCACAAGAGGAAGTGAACGCGGCGGAAAGCGCGTGCAACTCCGAGCTGACGTGGACGGACGATCCCAACGAGAAAAGCGCGCGAAAAGAGAGCGTACGAAACGTGTTCGAGGTCATTACTCAGTTTAGTAAGATGATTCGCGATAAGTCGGCTCCCGGTGGTAGCGACAATACGAGTCTCGTGCAACTCTCTATGCAAGCCTCGGGCGCGGACTCTCCACGGACGTCTGAAGAACGACCTCGTCGTTCGGTGCTGGGATTTTCCACCTCGATATCGGATGCGGACACGACGATGGAGAGCATCATGGAGAAGGCGCACGAGCTCGAACACTCTCGCGACGTCCAGACGCTCACCCGCAACGTTTCGCGAGACGCGTTGTCGTACAACCCGCTTCAAGCGTCGAACGTGCCTCGTTAATTTGAGGAGTAAGTATTATTGACAAACGGAGTCTTACGTAGTAGTATATTTGATTGCGCGGGTCGATGCCTCTTCATCATCCGCGCTCTTGCGTAGTGTTTGTGATATGTACCGGTGAATGCGTAGTGAGCAAAATTGTGCGCCGATTATTGACCCATGCTGAGCGCGAAGCCAGTCTTGTAATGATGTCCCTTGCTGGCGAGTCGAACGCACGCGGTGGCGGTCGCACCCTCGCAGAGTTCCGTCGTGTACGTCACATCGGTATCACCGTGGCTGGTGTACACCACGCGCATCGTGTCGCCGGATTGAAGCTTCTTTGCCACGCCGAGCGAGTAGCTCAGCTTGGCGCTCTCTCCGCCGGTCTGCAGCTTGGTCTCCATCCCGGCTTTGGTGTTGGCGTCGAGTTCACTGACCCATCCGACGGAGATGGTGTTACCACCGTCGGTGACCGCGGCGCTGAGCGTCGTCGGTCCATCCCTGCGATGCGCCGCGAGCGACCACTCCGTCACCCCGCCCGAGGACGGGGTCACCGTCGCCTTGGCGCCGACCGCGGTGTCGTCATCGATCGCGAACGCCGCGCTCGCTTCGATCGCGTCACCGCCACCGACCGATCCATCCGCCGTGATACCGATCGCATCGAGCGCGTACTTCGCCCCGAACGTCGCGTCATTCATCTCCTTCGTCAACTTTTCCGCGACGACGTCCAAGCCCGCGATCAATCCGCGCGCCTCCACGTCCGCGCTCACGTCACCCCGCTGATTCGTCTTCGCCGTGATCGTCACGCCATCGACCGGGAGCTCAAACGTCCGTCCAACGCGCCCGTCCAACGCCTTCGCCCGCTCGTCCACGTCGATCGCGACGTCGACGCCCGCGAGCGCGGAATCCTTCCGCCCCGTCGCCGCGATCGTCGTCACCGCCACCGCCGCGGGTTCGAGCACCGCCGCGAGATCGCGCGTGAGATCTTCAAAAAACATCTCGCGCGTTTCCCGCGCGATCGTTCGTCGACGGACGTCGCGCCGTGCGGGGCGTCGACGACGCGATCGCGCGATGGCGATTCATTCGCGAAACGGTTGCCACGTGGACGCGCGCGCGTGGGGCGTCGCCGCCGTATTCGACGTACATAACACCGTGACACGCCGTGTGAGACGCCGTGACCCGACCGGCGGCGTCCTGGGTTGGGTAAAATTGGCATCACGATCTCCCTCACGACCCGAAACTTCGTGATCTGCATCACGATCACGACCCATGGATCGTGATGCGACCTTGGAGGAAATTTCAAGCTTGCGGCGACGCTCTTCGAGGGGGTGCTAGGGTTAGAACAGTGACACAATTTACTTATCATCGCTGTATTTCCTCGAAACCGGTACCGACATAGCGTATTATCAGTCACTTGATGCCTATCAGTGAGGTATACCCGTCAATATCAGCAAATGATAGGCTTTACATACACTCAATATAGCATCATGATCTGAATCATCGATTTCGTGATCGGCGTCAGCATCACGACTCATAGATCGTGATGCGACCAACCTAGGCGGCGTCGGGCCGACCTATCGTGTGGTATTGATAGATCGCGTGTGTCTCCCAGTACGTACACGCGTGTCGTACACTGATCCAATTACACCCTATGTGCGCCACCACTCGCGCCACTTCGAGGGTTTCGCGTCGCCGCGCGCGCGCCCGGGTCGCGACGCCGGAGAACGGCGACGCGCGGTCGATGCTTCGCTCGCGCGCGAGAGAGGTGTGCGCGCGCGCGGCGTCGCTCGCGCGCGCGGTGGGATCGGAGGCGACGAGGCGCGGGATGAGCGACGTGACGGTGGATGCGTACAAGGTTGGGGAATCGACCAACATCAAGTGGCACGAGGGCGCGGTGGATCGGGAGACGCGCGAACGCGCGTTGGGACAGCGGGGATGCGTGTTGTGGTTCACCGGATTGTCGGGAAGCGGGAAGTCCACGGTGGCGTACACGCTGGAGCACGAACTGTTCAAGCGCGGGAAGATCGCGCAGGTGCTCGACGGGGATAACATTCGTCACGGGTTGAACTCCAATTTGGGGTTCACCGCGGAGGATCGCGAAGAGAACATTCGAAGAATCGGTGAGGTGTCGAAACTGTACGCGGATAGCGGGATGATCACGCTCGTGAGCTTTATCTCGCCGTATAAGCGGGATCGCTTGCGCGTCCGCGAACGCGTCGGCGACCGCTTCGTCGAGGTGTACATGAAGATTCCTTTGAGCGTGTGCGAGGATCGCGACCCAAAAGGGTTGTACAAGGCCGCGCGCGCGGGTAAGATTAAGGGTTTCACCGGAATCGACGATCCGTACGAGGAGCCGGAGAACGCTGAGATCGAGATGGAGGTCGCCAAGGAGGACGGCGTCTTGGCGCCGCCGAGAGAAATGGCGGAGAAGATCATCGAATACCTGGATAAAAAGGGTTTCTTGAAGGCGTAAACGACTTCAAGTTTGCAATGATCATATTTCGTATTGACTACATAATTTTACACCGTCACGAAGACTTCACGGGCGGGGTCCAGCGCTGCGGCAACTCGACGGGCGGCGGCGGCTCGAAATTCGTCGCCGCCGCTTTTGGACTCGCGAACGTCGCCTGAATCCATCGTCTGCTCATATCGTTCGCCTCAGCCCTGTTCGTGATCACGGCCTCTTGCACGTGCACGTTGCGAAGCTCCATGCCCTCGTCCGCGAATAGGGCGCTCAAATCCTCTCGCGTGAAGTAATACGCCCTGGTTCCATCCGAGCGAACGTAGAAATTCTCCGATATCTTCTGGTTCCCCGCCGACTTCCCCTCGAACCGCTCTTGAGCTAGATCTCCCGCGGCGTAATCTCGAACACAAATCGTCCCGATCTGTCCATCGCGCATCACCGTCGATAGATTCCTCAAACAAAAAGACATGCGTTCCCTGGACATCGCGCTCAACGCGAACACCAGCGTCGCCACGTCGATCGAACCCGCCGGGACGTTATCCAACAAACTCTCACACGTCGCGTCGCACACGAACGCCTTCACGCGTCCCCTATCCTTTTCCGCTAACGTCGAAGCCCTCTGCTTCACCAAATCGATCGCCCGAGCGCTGAAATCGCAGCAATACACCGTCGCCTCGGGCTCCAACTCAACAATCGGAAACACCGTGTTCCCGACCCCGCATCCAACCTCCAGGAACGCCCTCGGGCGGTCCACGGGGACGACGTACGTCGGCGCCGACCCGACGCGGTCCTCGACGCGATCGCGCGACGTCTCGGAGACGTGCTCGCTCGACATTCGTTCGGCCGCCAGTGGAAACACCTCGGGCCACTCACGAGCGAGCCAGTGTCGATCCTTGAAGAAATTCTCGCCGTGTTGCTTGTAAAAGGTGTCCCAGTACTTTCTCGCGTCTCGCTCGTACTTGCGTCGCCAGAAATCGGTGGCGACGGACATGTCGACGGCGTCGAGCGCGCGTCCCGGTGTGCGGCTAGGCGAGCGCGTCGGAGCCCGCGGACGTGCACGCGAACGATCGAGACTCCGTGACGACGACGTCGACGATGCGATCGTGCGCATCAATGGGCACGACGCCGGGCGGGCAAATTTGACACTCGTACGCGAGGGCGACGACGAGCGGCGGCGACGCGTTCACGCGGACGCACGCGTCGGCGTAGCGAGCGAGAAACGCGTCGTAATATCCACCCCCGCGACCGAGCCTTCGACCGTCCTCGCCGAAAGCGAAACCGGGAACGATGATAACATCGAGCGCGCCGACGGTTTCGATGTCCTCCAAGGCGTCCACGCGACGACTTCCGTCGGCTCGCGTCGCGCGCGGCTCGGGCAAGCCGTACGCGCCGCGCTCGACGTCCGTCTCCGGATCCTCAATCTCGAGCATTCGCATCGATGACGTCGACGCATCACTCACCAGCGGGACGAACACTCTCGTGTTCCCGCTCGCGAGCGCCCGCCGGACGAACCCACTCGTCGCGCACTCTCGAAGCCTTTCGCTCGCCAAGTACGCCGCGACGCGCCGCGCGTCTCGCGTCCGCCGCATCTCACCCAGGCGTCCCTCGATCGACGCGTCCGCCGCACGCATATCCTCCCGCGTCATCCTCCGCAGCGCCTCGCGCGCGCGGTCGCGCGCCGCCGCCTTCATCGCTCGCGTCGCGTCGTCCGTTCGCGCGTCCACGCGCGCTCGAGGTCGACGCCAACACCCACGTCCGACGCTCGCGGCGCCGCCCGTCGCGACGCGCGTTCGAGCGATCGCGGCGACGCGCATCACCCGGCGGCTCGCCGTGTTTTCACGGGCGACGCGACGCCGTGGACGCCGAGCGGCGCGCACTCGCGCGGACGATGCGTCGAGGTGGCGGTCGAGCCAACACCATGGGGCGACCGCGCGTGCACGTTCGCAGTGCGCGACGCGTCGGCGGCGGCGCGCGCGTGGGTGACGGGTGACGCGCGCGCGATGGTCCTCGCCGCGCTCGCGGAGGCGACGATCGGGCGGTGCGTCGCGCTCGGGTCCACCGTGGTGGACGCGAGCGCGCGAGCGCTCGGGTCGATGCGCGCGCTCGGGGCGCACGCGCAGGCGCACGCGCAGGCGAAGGCGGCGACGACGGCGATCACGGATGGGGTTGATTTTCGACCGCACACCGATACGTCGTGCTTCCTGACGCCGTACAGGGAGAGCGAGGCGGCGACGGCGATGATGACGGTGTTCGTGTTGGGATGCGTGTTGGGCGCGGTGCCGCAGTACTTGAAACTGTTCGCGTTGCGGAACGCGGTGGGGTTATCTCTGACGTCGTTGGCGCTGATGAACGTGTCGAATATGTGCGCGACGATGAACGTGTTCGTGTTGCACTACGAACAGATCAGGCGGTGCGCGAGAGGGGCGACGGGGTACGAGACGGAGCGATGTCGAACGAGCTTGTTGACGGTGTACTACACGGCGATATACACGATGTTGTGGCTGCCGTTGTTCCCGCTCGCGGCGCATTACACGAGCGAGGAGAAGATAGATCACTGCGGGAGGGTGATGACGCGGCGTAAGTGGGCGTGGTATGGGTTCACGGCGCACTGCTTCCCCATCGCGCTCTTGGCGGCGCCCGTGGTGCGGATGTTGTTTGGGAAGACGTGTTACGATTTGGAGTCGTACGCCATAGTCTTAGGTTTATTGAACGCGGTGTTGGAGACGGTTAGATACGTGCCGCAGTTATGGGAGTCGATCCACTCCCAAGGGTCGGGGGCGATGAGTTACCTGCGGTTGCTCTTGTCCATCGGCGGTGGTTTAGGGGCGACGATACAAAAGGCGGTGATGAAGGAGTCGTGGTCCACGTGGGGACCTCCGCTCGTGGGACACGGATTGGAGGTGGCCATCTTCGGCGTGAATTTGTACAACGACACGCACAGGCGTCGGTCTGGCGCGCGAGGCGATGGTGAAACTTCTGGATTAACGGATACGACGGAGTCCAAGGATGAAGACGACGACTCGGCGGAAGAAGATTGGGTCAAAGGCATTCCCGCCGACGTCGGTCTGGGGGAGAAGGGAGCGTACGTGTACCAACGCATGTGCACCGATAAGCACTTCTTCACCTCCCTCGTGAAATATTTGTAAATAGCAGCACAATTATCAAGCAACGTTACCGTCGCTCGATGAACTCAACGCCTCCGCGCTCGCTCAGCCACACTTTGAGACGCGCATGCGCGCGCGCGTCGCACTCCGAGCGCGCCTCACCGCCACGCACACGTCGACAGCACAGTGTTCCCGCGTCGACGCGCTTAAACCCACGCTTCGCGAGCTGCAAGCGCGACGAAACGCACGAAACGCTTCGTCAAAGGTTTCAGCATCAGTCATGCGCGTCGCGGACGCGCTCGCCCCCGCGCCGTCGTCCACGCCCACGTTCACCGATCGCGTGACGCCGAGCGAGATTTCGTCGATGACGCAACGCATCGCTCGAGCGTACGAGAACGCGCTAAGTGAGGCGTCGACAGGGACGACGTGGGCGACGACGTTCGGAAAGACGCTTGACGCTCTGGGACGAGCGTCCGAGGCGAGCGCGAGCGTCACGCTGCCGAGCATGACGCACGGTGATAAGGCGACGAGAGAGGCGAGCACGCGGGGTAAGGATGCGCTGAAGGCGATGTTCGATGGGACGTTCGCGCGGAGAGAGGTGTACCAGGCGATGGTACGCGTGGGTGCGGACTCGGCGCCGAACGCCGAGGCGAGACGGGCGAGCGAGTACTTGATGCGCGAGTTCGAGAGAAACGGTGCCGCGCTCGACGAAGCTTCGCAGAAAGTGCTGATGCAAAAGTTGGGGGAACTCGAGGAGTTGTGCTCGAGCTTTTGCGCGGCGATCAACGAGGACACGACCAAGGTTGCATACACTGAGGAGGAGTTGGAGGGCGTCGATGTGACGGCGTACGATGAGGACGAGCAGGGGGCGCGTCTCGTTGGATTGATCGCGCCGGACATGATGCCGGTGATGCAGTTCGCAAAACGGTCGGAGAGCAGGAAGCGCATGGCTGAGGCCAAGGCGAGGCAGTGCCAAGACGTGAACACGGACCGGTTCCTTCGCGTCGTCGAGCTGCGCAACGAGTGCGCTCGCATGTTGGGATACAAGTCGCACGCAGAATACATGCTCAAGCCTAAGATGGCGAGGACGCCTGAGCGCGCCGAGCAGTTTCTGAGAGATTTGCTCGTGAAAGCGCGCGGTAAACTCGACGGCGATCTCAAGGATTTGCAAAAGTTGAAGGATGAAGAGGAGGGACCAGATGCCGGACCAATCCAGAGCTGGGATGTGGCATATTATTCGACAAAGTTTAAGGCGACGCTCGGCGTGGACGAGGCAAAGATACGCGAGTATTTTCCTTTAGAACACGTGAAGCAAGAGATTTTGAGCACGTACCAGTCATTGCTCGGTCTGACTTTCACGCGCGTGGACGCGGAGGTGTGGCACGAGGACGTGGAGTGCTACTCCGTGCGAGAGGCAGATGGGGAGCAAAATGTGTTAGGTTTCTTCTATCTCGATCTCTTCCCTCGTCCTGGAAAGTACACGCACCAGTGCGTGTATCCATTGAGACCGGCTTTCGCGGCCGACGGGGAGTTCACCCCTGCAGCATGCGTGAACATCGGCAACCTGAGCAAACCGTCAGCGGACGGAAAGCCCGCACTGCTGCGCTTCCGCGAGGTTGAAACGTTTTTCCACGAATTCGGGCATGTCATGCACTGCGTTCTTAGCAAGAGTCAGCACAGCGTGCACGCATGGGCGTGGAGCGCGGTCCCATGGCCGGGAGGCGTCGAACAAGACTTTCTCGAGGTGCCGTCCATGATGCTCGAAAACTTTGTTTGGCAACCTGAAGTGCTCGTTCGTCTTTCGAAACATTACAGCACGGGCGAGAGCTTACCGAAAGAAGATATAGATGCGCTAAGTGCCAGTCGAGGTGCCCTCGAGGGATACGCTCGCTCTCGATTCATCTCTATGGCGCTGTTCGATTTGGCCGTGCACGGTGGCCCTGGCCCGTACGAGTTCGAGGGGCAAAAGTACGACAGCATCGACTTTTACAACAGAATCACGGCATCATTGAGCAAAATACCGAGCATCGACGGCGCATTCCCAGTCGCGAGTTGGTTTCATCTAATGATGGGATACTCCGCTGGATACTACGGCTATCTTTGGAGCGAGGCTTTTGCGGCTGACTTGTTTAGCGAGTTCGAAGCGAACAGGCCGAATGTCTGTGATCCCGCGCTCGGTCGTAAGTACAAGGACATGATCTTAGCGCCGTGCGCCACCGTGGCTGGCGATGACATGCTTTCCAATTTTCTCGGGCGTGAAGCTTCTCTCAATCCGTTTTTGAAACGGATGGGCGTACTCTAAGATGATTAGCGACAAGCTACGCGCAACAAATACTCTTACATTTCTCCGAATGTGATTGATACACTAAGGTTCTAACCTCTAAACTTTGCTAACAAACTTAAGAATGAGCGGTACGACATCGTGAGGATCCGGTTCCAACAAGAATCCCCCGTGCTGCCACTGTTTCTCATGAATCATGCGTACGGTCGGCCACGCGACGCGAAGACGTGCTTCCACCTCCTTCGATGCGACAATTTCGTCCAACCCTGAGAGCACGATGAGATCCTCGCTACTCATCGGACCTCTCTCCCACGCCTCGTGCGGGAACAATAATCGTTTCATCAACTGCTGCGTAGAAACATCGCCTTTGATGAACCAAGAGCTGAGAAGAATGTTGAACAGGTCCATCGGCTCTTCTGGATTCGCGAGCTTGTTGGAGATGTAGTGCGTCAAGTGTTGCCACGCGAGCAAGTGGTCGTCGTACGCGTACTTCAGATAGCTCCCGAACGCGGGAAGAAAGCACACTGGATCGATGTACACGCAACGTCGCACCATATCTGGATAATGACGTCTGAACCCGGTGAGAACGACGGTGCCGTACGAGTGTGCGATGACATCACACTTGTTCAGCTCGCCCTTCGACGGCGTTTTCCGGAACCACCCTCCGAAGCGTTCGCGATACCAGGGCTGCGCATCCGCCTCCTCGACTTGCGGATACAAGAGCGACTTTTCATCCTGCACGCGCTCCACCGTCTGCGCTAAGACGTTCGCTAACTGACGAGGCGTCGGGTACTCATGCGAGCGATCGAGCCCATACGAGATGTTAGGCCACTCCGGGACAACGACGATCCTGTCCTTTGGCAGTTTCTCGATGAACGATGTGTACGGCGGCACCCCCATGCCGAAACCGTGCAAGAAGAATAACACCGTGTCGTGCGCGCACGTCTCCGGAATCCGTACCCACAGCTTCACGTCCGTGTCCTCGTCCTTGTACTCCTTGAACCCGCTCCTGCGCAACGTCTCCTCGCTCTTCGCCCTATACCTCCAAATCATCAACTGCAAAAGCAACGGCTTATACCACGCCGTGATGTTGTGCGTGTTTGTGCGAATAAAATCTGGCGTACCCTCCACCGGGCTATGTATCCTCGATTCCCTGTACCCGAAAAACCTCAAGAACCAGCTCCCCCAACTCGCGCCGTGCTCCTTCGCCATGCGCTCGTCCGCCTCCACCTCCTCCGCCAACGTCGCATCCCCCACGCGCGCCGGCCACACCGGGCAATCCCGTGCAAATTTTAACCCGTGTCTACGCTCCAAATCTCTCAATAACGACTCCGCCGCTCTTCGAATCCCCCGCGGGTGCGTCCCGCTCGCGTGCTCGCTCGCCTCTCGCGCGCTCAGGTAAAACTCCAACATCGCCAAAGCGCGATTCCGCGGGATCGTCTCCAGCGCTCGATCGTTAAAAACCTCCTCGAACAGTCTTCGCGGGTTCGGCTCCCGTCGAAGCTCTCGCGCGAACCACAGCGCGTGCGCGTCGACGTCGAACGCGTTGAAATCCATTGTTCGTTTGGGCGCGCGTTCGATTTCTGAGATTCGTTTTTGATGCCCGACGAAAGCGGTGAGCTCGGCGGCGGCGTAGGCGGCGCCCAGAGCGCGGGCGACGTGGACGCCGCGACGGCGCCACATCGCGGGCGGACGACCGCGCGCGTGGTGCGGCGCGGTGTGCGGGAACAATCGGAGAATGAGAGGCTCTGTCGGGTGAGGCTTCAAATGTTGTAATGCTGTTGACATGTTTTACACGGAGGAGTACTTTGTGTTGGCGTCGTCGTTCTCTTGCTCGGTTCGTTGCTTGGCGGTCTGACGTTCGGTGACGTCATTGAAGACCTGGTGGAGATCGGGGTGGTGAATCGTCGATCGATCCTTGTCCACGGCATAACAGACGAAGACTGCGTCGACGACGTTGAGGAGAATCATGACGACGAACGTGAGGACGATGTATGAGACGACGAAGCAGATGCAACCGCCGATGATGGCATTTTTGGAGTTATTGTCGTCGCCGGAGATGGCGTAGCCGAGGTCGGAGAGAGTGTAGATGCTGTAGCCAAAAAGTCCGGAGAGGACAAGGACGACTGTGCCCAGGATGGTTTGAGGAAAGTAGTACGTGCCGTACGCGAGGAGAAAATTGCGCTGAAGCAGATCCGCGATGGTTCTCGCGGCGTCGCAGAAAGCCTCTCCACTCATCGAGGCTTGGATCATGGCGAAACGAGTGATGTACTCGATGATGTTGTAGATGCACTCGAGGCAAATCGAGAGACAGCACATGAGAAGATTTCCTCTGTTTTCGCGGCGCGCCTTTTCGGCGGCCGCCTTGAGGAATTCGATGGCAGTGATGACGAAACCGCCGTAGCAAATCGTACCGAACGACGGCCCAAATGCGTTACGCAGCGATGTCTTCGTCGTGCCCTTGAAGTTGGTCGTCCCAGCCGGGGCGAAGTACCACTGAGAGACGACGCCTCCGACGACGTACATGCGGCACTCGAGCGCCGCCGCGAACACCCACATCGCCGCGAAGAATACGAGGGCGAAGTACCCGCCCACCCAGTGCTCAAGCTCCCACGTGCAACAATCGACCACCTGTCCGTAGTACCCGACGCACGCGTTCGCCGTCGTCGCTTTGTCGATGGCGTACTTGTTTATGGCGGCTGAGCCGTGTTGCGACGCGCTGACGGCGAACCAAGCGAGGGGTAAGATGTACGCCAGGACGCCCAGCTGCAGCAGCATCGTCACCGATACCAAGTGTGGGTTGTCCGACAGGCTCTGCGTCGACACGGCGATCATAGAAGCCACCAAATTGAGCTCGTCTCTCCACATCCACACCACGAGAGCCGAGAGCAAGGTGAGAAACGCGAGCAACAGCGACACCTGCAGCGCCCCGTGCGCGAGCGAGGCGATGGTGACGACCGCCAGAACACCAACCTTGGCGTACATCACTCCCCACACCACGCTCTTTGAGTGATTCTTCAGCGCGTGCATCAAGAAAATTCCCATGAAGACGCTCGCGACGAGCGCGGTTACGATCCAAGGCCACGTCGCTCGCAACAAAGACTCCGCGTCCACCGCTTCCTGTTCCGCCCCCAAATTTCCCTCCACCGCCCCCACGTCGCTCCCAATCATCATCCTCGATCGTTTTCCCAGCCCTTTCCCCGCCCCTAACCCGAGCGACGCCGCGGCGACGCGCGTCGCGCTCGCCTCTATGCGCGCCTTATTCGCCTCCAGCGTCCCCCGCCACGCGCGCTCTCCCCCCAAAAAGCACGCCTCCCCCCCCCTGAGCGCCTTCCACGTCTGCACATTCGTCCCCGTCGTCGGCGTCGTCGCGCGCGCGACGACACCGACGACGAGCGCGGCGACCGCGACCGCGACGAACGCGAGCGCCCAACACCCGTCTCGCCGTCCTCGCGTCTCTCTCGGCGCGTGCGCGCTCGCGTGCGTCGCCATGACGCGCGCGCGCGATCAGCACGCGCGCGCGATCACCTCGCGCGCGTTGATCCCGCGCGCGGCGTCGCGCGCCGTCGACCGAGGCGTCGACGCGGTCGCCGCGAATGATTCGCGACGCGCGGGAGTCGCGTGTGCGTCACCGTATGTGTTTTCGTTATGACGACCCCAGCCGTGCCGTCCGGGCGCGCATCAGTCGCGTGTGCGTCACCGTATGTGTTTTCGTTATGCCGACCCCAGCCGTGACGCGATGCACGTCCTCGCGCGCGCGTCCCCGTGCGAGCGCGCGCGCGCGACGCGACACGGCGACGCGCGAGCGCGCGCTCGAGGGTCCGCGCATCGATCGATCGCGTCGACGACGCGGGTGCCGGCGACGCGGACGCGAGCGAACGAACAAAAGCACGCATCGAGACGCGAAGGGTTTCATCCGAGGCATGGCGTCGTCGACCACGCGCGCGGCGTCGCGCCCGGGCGCGATCACGGCGCGGCGGACGAGGGAGGAACGACGGGTGGTGCGCGCGCGCGCGGTGACGTCGGGACCGGAGACGGTGCCGGTGGCGGTGGCGCTCGGGGATGGGCGGATGGCGGACGTCTTCGGCGCGCTCGCGAGCGAACGGATCGTCTTCTTGGGACAGCGAATCGATGAGAACGTGGCGCTGGATGCGTGCGCGCGGTTGTTGGCGCTCGAGGCGGAGGATCCGGAGGGAGAGATTCGTATCTGGGTGAACTGCGTGGCGGGGACGCAGTATTGCGTGACGGCCATCTTGGATATGATGGAGTACGTGTCGTGCCCGATCAGCACCGTCGCCCTCGGGTGCGTCGCGGGGCCGCCGGTGATGCTCGTCGCCGCGGGGGATAAGGGTAAGAGGTACGGGACGCAGAGCGCCCGCATGGTGCTCAGTCAGCCGCTCGGGGGCTTGGCGGGGACGTCCATCGAGGTGAAGATTCAGGCGAAAGAGTTGAACAGAAACGCAAAGGCCCAAGTCGGGTTCATCGCTCGGTACACGGGTAAGGACGCGGATGAACTGGAGGCGATGATGGCCAGAGATACGTACATGGGCGTGCAAGAGGCGATAGATTTCGGTTTGCTCGATCACGCGTTGTAATCGATTTATTTACGCGCTCGGCGACGCTTTCTCGACGGCTCGTCGCGCGACACCCCGCAGACGCTCGCGCGCGGCATGCTCTCGCGCGCGCGGCGAGCGTCAAACTCAACCGACGCATGCGCCGTCGCGGCGAGAGTCGCGTCGCACAGACACGTGAGCACGAGCGCGAGCTCTAACGACGCGTCCGGTTCGAGCGGCTCTGTTCTCGACGCTCTGCTCGAGCGTAAGCGTCGCGAGCGCGCGATGAGCGGTCACGGCGACGCTCGAGAGGCGATCGCTCGCGCGCGTAGCGCCGCGGAGCTCCGCACGGCGGCGGAAGGGAAGGTGGACGGCCGCGCGGCGGCGCTCGCGCTCGAGCGGTGCGCGAAGGCAAAGTCGTCGGTTCGAAGCGTCATGGGCGAAGGGTTCGTGGAAGTCGCGAGCGAAGCGTTGCGACGAGATGCGCGTCGGATGAGCGTGCACGCGGTCGGCGGGGTGTTCCACGACGCGGACGTCGCGCGATTTGACGCGTTGCCGAGCGGCGAGTTGTTGCGAGCGGCGGCGGAGCGGTTAGAGAGCGAACGCGGGCTCGTCGCCGCGGACGCGGTGCGGGTGATTTGGGGTGTAGCTAACTTTTATAAGCGACGTGGAGTCGACTCTGGGGAGGTCGAGGACGCGATGCGCGCGTTCGTGAGAGCGGCGACGGAAGCGACGCCGAGAGTGTTCGATTCATGGGACGCTAAACGTGATCCTCGACGAGCGTCGACGCTGTGTCGAGCGCTGAAGCACTTGATTGAGATTAACAGAATGGTCGGGCAGACGCCGCCCGCAGCGACGATTGAGTCGCTCGTGCGCGTCGGAGCGAGAAACGCGGGATCGATGTCGCCGGCTCAGGTGAGTTTCATCCTGCACGACGTCGTCAGCGCCGGAGCGATGGAGGTATTATCCGAGTCGCTCATGGAGGCGTTCACGAGCTCGATCGATGTGGACTCGGACGCACCGCTGGAGTTCTCGACCGTGTCCGCGCTGTTGTGGTGCTACGGCAAGATGGATGCGTCGAGACGCGGGCTGGTCTCGCAGACGCATCTGGAGAATCTGCATTACGCCACGATGGCGGAGCTCGAACGCGATGGAGACTTGTTGCCGCGCGACATTGCGTTGAATTTGTACGCCACCGCTCGTCTGGGTGAAGCTCACATCGGATTTAAAGACGCGGCGTATCACAACGCGGCGGCGAGGCGACTGCTCGAAGGATTGGATGGATTGAACAAGCAAGCATTGTGCATGATTTGTTGGTCTCTGAACGTGATGCGACCGAATGAGGACGACGCCTTTATTTGGAGCACGTTTCTGCAAGCAGTCGTGGAAGCGGTGAAGCGCTCAGTCCATGATTTCTCTCCGCACGAATTGGCTCCGACGATGCACGCGTTGACGTCGCTTCATGCCGCGAGCGCAAAACTTCTCGAGCTTGCGCGTGATCAATTCTCCGCTGACGTGTATGAATACGCGGCAAACCCGCAAAATATCGTGCTCATGCTCTGGTCCTTCGCCGCTGCGGAGTACGATGTAGGAGACGTCGCGCTCAAGAACGCGGCGCGCGCTTTCGTCGACGCCTCTGAAAGTGCCTCGGCGCAGGAGCTCAAGACGGCGCTTCAATCGCTCGCACGTTTACACTACGTCTTCGACCAAGATACAGTCGCGCTCGAACACGCACGAATGGCGCTGGAGAAGGCGATCGATCGAGTGCTCGACGAGTACTCGCAAGGGGAGTGCGAAATCCTGGCGTGGAGCCTTCTCGCGACTCAAGTGCCCGCGAGTGAGCGCCTCCTCGAGCGCGTGGGCGTCGCCCCAGTCGCCAACGACGCCGGTGACGTCGAATACATAGTCAACGACCCGAACGTCGACGCACATTAGCTCGCGCGTGTACATTACAAACTCCAAACTCCGCGCGTCGAACAACCGCCAAACAAACTCACCGCCGCTTCCCCCGTCTCCCACCGCCGTCGTCGTACACCGACCCACCCCGACGCTTCCCACCCCTACTCACCATTTTTACCCGATCGTCCTCGCTCTCGCTCTCGCTCTCGCTCGCCTCGACGTTCGTCTCGTTCCGCCGCCGCTCCGCCGCCGCCCGCGCCGCGCTCTTCGTCAGCGCCCGCTCGATCCCACGCGCCGCCACCGAATCGCTCGCGCGCCGCCGCGGCGTCGCCCCCAACCCCAATCGCGGGTGTCTCCGCCGCAGCGCCGCCGTCGCGCTCTCCTCCGCCGCGAACGCCGCGAACGCCATCGCGCTCGGCCCGCTCGACGCCCCCAACCACGATTTCGCCCGTTCGAACGCCACGTCCACGCACCGCACGTCGCTCTCGTCGTCCTCGCTCGACGTCGCCGCGCCCGACGCCCCGGTCGTCGGCATCGCCCGTCGCGCGCGCGTCGACGTCGGGCGTCGACGGGGACGCGACGTCGTCGAAAGGGACGAAATGTCGTCGAAAGGGACGTCGAAAGGGACGTCGAAATGGACGAAATGTCGTCGAAAGGGACGTCGAAAGGGACGCGATGTCGTCGAAAGGGACAGCCGCGCGAACGGCGGCCGCACACGCCGAATGCCCGCGTCGACGACGTCCACCGTCGGTGGCGCGCGCGCGGGCGCCGGGGAGGACCACGCGCGGGGGCGGAAGCGTCGAGCGACGGCGGCGGCGGCGACGACGGCGACGGTGGACGCGGTGCCGATGGATGGGACGGCGGCGGACGCGGCGGGGCGACGGGTGATTTCGGACGCGCACGCGGCGCGCGGACGCTCGACGTGCGTGCACGAGGTGGCGACGCCGCCGGGATGGATGGGTGATCGAGCGAGGTTGATGGACCCGAGGCACGAGGGACGGGGGGCGAAGGAGTACCCGTTTGAGTTGGACGCGTTTCAGCGCGTGGCGGTCGGCGCGCTGGAGCGGAACGAGAGCGTGTTAGTCGCGGCGCACACGTCGGCGGGGAAGACGGTGGTGGCGGAGTACGCGATCGCGATGGCTTTTAGGGATAAGCAGCGGGTGATATATACGTCGCCGCTCAAGGCGCTGAGTAATCAAAAGTTTCGAGAGCTGAGCGAGGAGTTCGGAGACGTCGGGTTGATGACGGGCGAAGCGTCGATCAATCCGAACAGCACGTGCATAGTGATGACGACGGAGGTGCTGCGGTCGATGTTGTATCGAGGCGGAGACGTCATTCGAGAGGTGAAGTGGATCGTGTTCGATGAGGTGCATTACATGCGGGATCGCGAACGCGGTGTGGTGTGGGAGGAGTCAATCATATTCGCGCCGAAGGACGCGAGGTTAGTTTTTCTCAGCGCCACGCTCCCGAACGCGCTGGAGTTCGCTCAGTGGGTGACTAGCTTGCACAGACATCCGTGTCACGTGGTGTACACCGATCATAGACCGACGCCGTTGCAGCATTACGCGTTTCCCAAAGGCGGGAGCGGATTACATCTCGTCGTCAACGAACAGAGCCAATTCAAGTCGGAGAATTTCACAAAGCTCATGCAAGCGATCGCACAGAGCGCGGAAAAGAGTTCCGGTGGCGGAGATCGCGGGGGCAGAGGACGCGGCGGTGGACGTGGAGGTGGTGGACGCGGCGGCGGGCGCGGCGGTGGGCGCGGCGGCGGCGGTGGTTCAGGCGGTGATGCGGACATTTTGCGCATCGTTCGGATGGTCAAGGAGAAGAGCTTTTTCCCCGTCATCGTTTTCAGTTTCAGTCGACGCGAGTGCGAAGAGTACGCCAAACACGTGGCAAAGTTGAATTTTAATACTCCTGAGGAGGCGGAACAGGTTCGTGAGGTGTACAACGCGGCGTTGCTCAACTTGTCACAGGAGGATCGACAGCTTACTGCGGTGAAGGCAATTTTGCCCTTGCTTGAGGCGGGCATCGGCATCCACCACAGTGGTTTGCTCCCCGTACTTAAAGAGCTGATTGAAATCTTGTTCGGAGAATCGCTCATCAAGTGTTTGTTCGCCACAGAAACTTTTGCGATGGGGTTGAATATGCCGGCAAGGACTGTGATATTTACCGCAGTGAAAAAGTTCGACGGATCAGATATGCGCGTGTTGGCGCCGGGAGAGTACACGCAAATGTCCGGGAGAGCTGGACGACGAGGCAAGGATGATCGTGGGATTTGTATCGTTATGTGTGACGAGCGCATGGAAGAACAGGCGATGAAGGAAATGATCCTCGGCGAGCCGCAACCGCTGAACTCCGAGTTCAAGTTGAGCTATTACAGCATTCTCAACCTCTTGAAGCGCGCCACGGGTACCGTCGATGCTGAGTACGTGATATCTCGATCATTCCACCAATTTCAACACGCGAAGCAACTGCCCGAGATGAAGGCAAAACTCGCTGACGTGCAGAACAGAGCGTCGAAAATCAAGGCGGTGGACAGCAAGGAAATCCAAGAATACGTCAAACTCAGACGTGATTATCGCGAGGCGGAAAAATCAGTAATGATGACGATGCTGGAGCCATCAAACTGTCTGCGATTCTTCACTTCTGGTCGACTCATACGCATTCGAGACGGCGACACGAATTGGGGATGGGGAGCCGTGGTGCACGTCCTGACTGTAGAGGGTGCGAACGGTGAAAACACGTACGTTTTGGATTGTCTACTTCGATGCGGACCGGGCGCTGCCGAGGGTAATCTCGTGCCCGCAGACGCACAGAATCCGAAGTATAACTCGACGGAGATAATACCGGTCGGATTGCATCTCGTAGACGCCATAAGTGCGATGCGTCTGACCCTTCCCGATGACTTGCGCTCAAAGGAAGCTCGCGAAAGCGTTTGGCTTGCGGTGGAGACGGTGACAAAGAAACTCACGGAAAAGGGAAAAGATATACCACTCATCGACCCAATCGAGGATATGAAAATCAATGATGTTGCGTTTGTGAGAAAGTATCGATCACTCGGATCACTGCGAGCGGAGTTCCAGTCGCATTCCTTGTACAGCGAGGCGGACGCACGAGAGAATAGCGAGCTGACCGCCAAGATTAACATCTTCGAGGAAAAGGCAAATCTACTCGCTCAAGCGTCGGATTTGAAGCAGAAGATTACATCGAGCGAGCTGACAAAGTTTCGGGACGATTTGAGCGCGCGAAGCCGTGTTTTGAAAAAGTTGGGACACATCGATGCAGACGGCGTCGTCCTCACCAAGGGCCGGGCGGCGTGTGAAATCGATACTGCCGACGAGCTTTTGGTCACGGAGCTAATGTTCAACGGCGTGTTCGCCGGACTTCATCCACACGCACTCGTCGCCCTCGCTTCGTGCTTCATGCCAGTGGAGAAGAGCAACTCGACGAACATGGATAAATCGTCAAAGGCTCTGTCGAAACCCCTCAAGGCTCTTCAGGAAGCCGCGCGCGAAATAGGCAACGTTCAAAAAGAGTGCAAGATCGAGATAGACGTGGACGAGTTCGTCGATTCGTTCAAACCAACCATGGTCGAAATCGTGTACTGCTGGGCGCAGGGAGAACCTTTCAGTGAAATAGTCAAGAAGACGGACTTGTTCGAGGGGACTATCATCCGAGCGATGCGTCGACTCGATGAACTCATGATGGAGCTCCATCGATCGAGCGTCGCCGTCGGGGACACTGATTTGGCTAAGAAGTTTGAACAAGGCGCCGCAGCGCTGCGACACGGCATCGTTTTCGCGGATTCATTGTATACGTAGCGAGTTATGAATACACGTTGAGATGTAGGTTGTAGGTTACAAGCGACCGGAGACGTCGGCGACCGCGCCCGCCGGCGCGCCAAAGAAGTCCTCGTCTGAGGTCAACGACGAGCGTCTAGTCTTCTCTTTTTCCTCCTTCTTCTCCTTCTTCTCCTTCTTTTCCTTCTTTTCCTTCTTTTCCTTCTTCTCCTTCTTTTCCTTCTTTTCCTCCTTCCTGTGTGTGTCCGTATCCGAGATGTCGCTCAACGACGCGGCGTCGTGTCCGTTCTTCGCGGCGTATTCCGTCGCGGTCATGCCCGGCTTCACTCGCCGACCCATGTCGTCGAAGACGTCGGCTTTATCTTCTGAAGTGTGCCGTCCGCCTTCACGCTCATCCATACCGATCGCGACTCGCCGACGTTTCATCTCCTCGATCTTTCGCTCGAGATTCTCAACTTTGGTGTTCAACTCGAGCACCTTCGCCTCCGCCGCGGCGCGCTCCTCCTCGACGCGTCGCAACTCCGACGCGTACTCCTCAGCCTTTCGTTCCGCCATCCGCACGCACGTGCGCTGATCCCGCTCAAAGTATTCCAGCAACCACTCCAACGGATCCTTCGGCCGCGCGTTCAATCGATACATCGTCGCGAACGCCATCACCAGTTCCTTCTCCGCGCGCGTCTCCCGCAGATGCGCCGCGAACGCCTCTCGTCGATCCGCGCGCGTCCGCGCCTCCTCCTCCGTGATCTCGACGTCCACCAGCGTCGGGTCTCGCGATCCATCTCGCACGAACGAGCTCTGCGTCGTCGCCCGTCGTCGTCGTCGTCGTCAGTCCTCGCGAATCGGTCGCGCATCGGGACGATGCATTCATCCACCGCGCCCGCCCCACGCGCGTCCGTCCCGTCCTCCGTCCCGTCGTCGTCGTCGTCGTCGTCGTCGTCGTCGTCGCGCGCACCATCGTC